AGATAGATAGATAGATAGATAGATAGATAGATAGATAGATAGATAGATAGATAGATAGATAGATAGATAGATAGATAGATAAGTTACCTTCAGGTTTTGTGGATCTTCCTTCTCAAACGCGTTCTTGATGCGCACCGTGTCTTCAGGCTCGCGTTCACTGTGTGCAGCTGGAAAGTTCGTTTCGTGCTTTGAAGGCTTCAGCTCTTCTCTGTTTGTGGCTCTTGGGCTCCTGGAGCTTCGCTGACCGACAGTAAGAGCGTCAAAATCGATGGTTTTGCTCTCATACGCTCCTTCTACGTTACAAAACAACCCTCCGTGTTTTTGTCGCGGCAGCTGGTCCGCGGTGCCCGGACGCGCCAGATACACCGGCAGATCACCGCGCGCTGCCATGACCGGAGACAGACTGAGAGCCGGTCCCGGAGCCCACGCCTCACTGCCGCACACCTGACGCTGACATATACTCATTTACTTACTAGGTAACAGTAGCCTAATCTTCAGTAACTTTCATTATAACATTTATTGAATTATACAAATGATTGTTCGAAGTTGCGTAAAACAGATTATTGTAGCATAAGAAAGCGCTATGTCAGTATTTCTACTTCAGAATTTCACGTTTAATTCTTGCCATACTTTCTGTGAAAATTAACTGTAAATAAATCCTAAGGATTTTTTAAAAAATCAGATCGTAAACTGGGTTACATTCGAAGATTAATTTATACGTTTTCAAATGTATTTTTGAATCAGCACAATGGCCACATAAGCATTATGTAATTAATTTTATTATAAAATGTGACATTTTTGTATTTTCTTTATTTGTTCTTATTTTTGCTGGATATAAATAATGAATGCATTGCTTATAATTACCAAGTTAACAGCTTTCTACATTAAGAAATATAGGAAATGTTAATCTACATCTTAATCTACATTTTTATTTTATTTTATTATTTATTTATTTGTGTTTAATTAACTTTAATCGTTAAATTTAATGTTCCAGATTCACGACTTTTATATAAAGATATTTGTTTTTATATTTTTATTTTCCCCCCATCTTTTCATCTCCTAACAACTGGTCTTTACTTGTGTGTTGATGGTTTAAAAATATGTCAGTTGTATTATTATTATTATTATTATTATTTTTCCCCCAGTAACGACGTCAAGCAGGTCTATACAATAACTATACCTTGTAAGAAAGCTGTACGTGTAAGCATTGAATAGCAGTTGCTCGGTTGGCGCAGGACCCACTCTTTGTCCATGGGCGCTCGCTTCAGGTGCTGTAGCTTTAAAAATCACTGGCTGTGCAGTTCAGAGCAGAAATCCTGTGTCACTGATGAAGCAGCTATTGCTCCAGTCAGCACAATGACAAGACTCTGTCTGCTGACGGAGTGAATGCTGATGACAACAGAGAACCAGCACAAGGAGTCGCTTGGTAACACTCTACAATAAGGTTGCATTTGTTAATATCCATTAGTTAGCATGAACTAACAATGCAAAATACTTCTAAAGCATTTATTATGTTAATTTATACATTTACTAATGCATTATTAAAATCAAAAGTTGCATCTGTTAATATTATTTAAATGGACTTGAGCTAACATGAACTAGGCAACCGTATGTAGTTTTATGTGTTTTTGCAACTTTGGAGGAGTTAAGTGAGTGCAATTCAGTGTTGTAAGTATATCACGGTCAGCGGATCCAAAGACACCGGAAGGCAAGCCTGCAACCTTTAGCCAAAAAAGCGTAGGGAAGGAGACCAGAGGCCATCAATGGAAGAGAGGCTTCAGCTTTTGTGAGGAAACAGCTTATCATTTAATGAATCGATAACCTATCAGCTAATCTTCAATTTGTTTGCCATTAAACAATAGTTTTACATTGAACTATTTTTAGAGTTCAGACCGAAAAATGCCGTTTTATAAGAGAAGTCACAGACTTTTTGCGACAGGTAGGATTTAGTTTATCTCAGTAAACGGCGATTGACTGTCGCACAACTCTGACTGAAATTCAATGATTTAAAGACTGTAATATGATTAGTTATCAAGGCACACGTGATCCAAGTTGCTTTCTCCAATGGTAAGTACTACAGACCCTTGTATCTCCCAATAATAAGACCTAGGTGCGTCCCAATTCGCATACTTATGCACTATTCTATGCCATATGAGTAGTGCGTAGTAGATATTTTGAAGAACCAAACAATTGTTGGTCCCCATTGACTTCCATGGTAGGGAAATAAATACTATGGAAGTCAACTGTTTGATTACCTGCATTCTTCAAAATATCTTCTTTTATGTTTAACATAAGAAAGAAACTTATACGTGTTTGGAATGAGGGTGAGGAAATGATGACATCATTTTCTTTTTTGGGTGAACTATGCCTTTAATTATGGCAATATATTAACAAATGGGACCTTAAAGTGTAAAGTGTTACAAGACGCCTTTTACTTTCAGCATTAAAAATAAAAATGAAAAATGGTTGAGTTCACTCACATCTCAGAATACAGGTGGTTCACTGTGCTGGAAAGAGGTTTTTAGTAGACGGTGTCCTGGTGGAGGGGTCATGTTGGACCGTGTGCTGGTGGAGTGCTGATGTAGGAGACTATATTGAACATGACATATCAGTCTAGCCAGAGGCAGAGACATAGGAGTGTCAAAACAAAGACAACAGTGGGGAACAATTCAGTGGCACCAGTGAATCATCAAATATAAAATCATTAGCAGCACATTTCAGTGGATTAAGAGTAAGCTTTTAATCCTTTTCCTTTAACATTTATGACCAAAGGTTTTGATTTTGAAGGGTATTGCTTTTATTCATATTCCTAAAATTATAGATTTCAAAGTAATGTAAAAATATTCAATGTTTACTTTATTCTTTGGTCACACTTTAGTTTAAGGTCCAATTCTCACTATTACGTTTGACTTTTGCCTCAATAAACTCCTAATTTGCTGCTTATTAATAGTAAGGTAGTTTTTAAGTTTAGGTATGGGGTGGATTAAGGGATCTAAAATATGATCATGCAGAATAAAACATTAATATGTGCTTTATAAGTACCAATAAAAAGCCAATATGCATGCTAATAAGCAACTAGTTAATATCGAGAATTGGTCCCTAAACTAAAGTGTTACCATTCTTTGCAACATTCTGTTGGTTGTTATTTACCAATTGAGCAATGATTGAGCCTGTTTAGCTTTCCACTATTTACAACTGAGACCAAGGAAAAGCACTCTCGCTTCTTGGAAAAGGTTGTTTGATTCATTGGGTTATCCAAGGAACATATTTGCTCACTGGGAAAATTTGCATTAAATATTCCCATCCTCATACTCTAAATCTCCTTCAAGTAATTATTATGCAACTGGAGGAAGTGTTATTATGGATTGGGGACTCGTATTTTAACCAGAAGCGATGGTTTGAAGTTAAAATGTCTTAATGATGGATCTGTTTATTCCAAACATGCAGCTTTTGTCTTCTCCAGATGTTAACTGACGGACTGGAGTGGTGTGGATTACTTGTGGATTATTGTGATGTTTTTATCAGCTGTTTGGACTCTCATTCTGACGGCACCCATTCACTGCAGAGCATCGATTGCTGAGACACTGATGCGATGCTACATTTCTACAAACCTGATGAAGAAACAAACTCATCTACATCTTGGATGGCCTGGGGGCAAGTAAGTTTTCAGTAAATTGTTATTTTATTGCTTTAATCAACTGCATTTGGATTTACAGTTTCGTACTCTAAGACTCGCTGTGTTACAAATAAAGCTTTCAACAAAAGACAATGTTTCAGGCTGCACAATGCAACTGGGAAACTGTTAGCCATTTGAGAATTAAAAATGCATGAGAGATCTTCTCACAAGGCTATAGGATCCAGTCCCTACACAAGCATTATCTGCTTAATGAATCATTTATCAATGTGATGCACTGTGACTATACATCAAACGTTCATCCATGGCTAAAGTAAAGTTTGTTGTTGTTGTAACTATTATCACAATCAACATTTAAGAAAGCATGAGTCCCTAAGAGATGGGCAGGAAGATGCTTTAATTACCTTTAGAGATAATTAATGATGTCATTTTAATATTTTGCTATTATTGCTTTACTGTAAACTAACTTTAACCCTGATGGTGTCCAGACAGCATTACAGACTCTTTTGTCACAGACCAACGCTTCTACTGGTTTATAATCAGTGTTGATTGATAAATAAGCTATGGATGATTTCCAAGCAGCTGCATCCGTCTGGAGCGCTGAGTGCTCGGCAGATGATGTTTAAATTTACTTATGAAAAGCCTTAATGAAATGATAGGCTTATCACAGGCTGGCTCTGGTTTGTATTTCTGTGTCAGATGACATTCACCTGCAGTTTTAACCCTAACCCATAATATTCCAGCCAATGCATATTCCACAGATACTTTACACTCACCGGTATCTCAGTGGAGGTGGCTGAAGTTACTCTTGTTAGAGGAAGCACAAAGCTGTTAATATTGCATTAGTGTCAGAGAGAGGGGAAGCGAAGTACAACAGGTGTCGGTTGCACTGACTTTCTCTGGTTACAGAGGTTACAACAAATACTTTGTGTGGCTGTAGTGCTTTCTGTGCCTTACCAGGCCAAACTAAACCAGTTAACCATCCTCAACTAACTGTCTTATATAAAGTTCAAATGTCTATACAATTCATTTGTAAAGACTCACGTTGCATTTCCATTGCAGCAAGTTCCCTAATGCTGCCAAAAAATATCACTTGAGTGGTATAAAACAATGTTTAGGGCTAATAACCTTGTCCGGTAATGTAGTACATGTAAGTTTTCTGGGAACTCTTCAGAGTCTCTAATGGGTAGTGTCTTATGAATACTGCAAACCTTACAAATTGTGTGGTTTTTCGGTTGATTTACAGTTTCGTACTCTAAGACTCGCTGTGTTACAAATAAAGCTTTCAACAAAAGACAATGTTTCAGGCTGCACAATGCAACTGGGAAACTGTTAGCCATTTGAGAATTAAAAATGCATGAGAGATCTTCTCACAAGGCTATAGGATCCAGTCCCTACACAAGCATTATCTGCTTAATGAATCATTTATCAATGTGATGCACTGTGACTATACATCAAACGTTCATCCATGGCTAAAGTAAAGTCTGTTGTTGTTGTAACTATTATCACAATCAACATTTAAGAAAGCATGAGTCCCTAAGAGATGGGCAGGAAGATGCTTTAATTACCTTTAGAGATAATTAATGATGTCATTTTAATATTTTGCTATTATTGCTTTACTGTAAACTAACTTTAACCCTGATGGTGTCCAGACAGCATTACAGACTCTTTTGTCACAGACCCTTTTGTCACAGACCAGCCCTTCTACTGGTTTATAATCAGTGTTGATTGATAAATAAGCTATGGATGATTTCCAAGCAGCTGCATCCGTCTGGAGCGCTGAGTGCTCGGCAGATGATGTTTAAATTTACTTATGAAAAGCCTTAATGAAATGAT